TGCTGCTCTTGAACCATTTTATTTCAGTCTCCAATTGAAAGACAGGGCGAGAACTCCTACCGGCCTTAGGCCCTACACGCTACACACCCTAAACCCTAAACCCTAAACCCTAAACCCTAAACCCTAAGCGCTTGGAGACCTCTCCCACGGCGCTGAGAACGGTCAAGGTAGTTACCGCTAGTAAATGCGTCTTGTTTGTTTCACATTGCATGCACTCGTGAACAGGGGCTGCATGCACAGCCCTTGCTGCTGCTGCTGTTGCTGCTGCACTCGCTGGCGCCGACCATCCACGGCCAACAGCAGCAGCAGCAGCAGCAACAGCAGCAGCAGCTGCCTGCACGTTTAATTGATGCTGCTTTTGGATAGCTTTTGCTTCTTTCTGCGGCATTTTGGGCCCCACAGCTTCTGCTGCCTCCACACTCGCCGTACAGCAGCAGCAGACAGCAGCAGCTGCAGCAGCAGCAGCCCTTCTCCCCCGGCCCCTCCTTGGCCATTATTTTTGTAATTAATTTCAATTGTGGTCCTCCCCCTCTCAGGGAGCCCCTTCCTGAGCAGCAGCAGCAGCAGCAGCGGCGGCAGGAGCAGCAGCAGCGGCAGCAGCAGCAGCAGCAGCAACAATCTTAGCCGCAATGTCGACCCATGTAGAGAGACGGCAGCCCCAACGGCGGCATGCCCACAGAGCACATCCTTATGGGGCCCCCCAGGGTCCCCTGGGGGCCCCCCGGGGGCCCCCCTCGCTGCTGTCGCGGCTTGCTGCTGGTGTTTCTTCCTTCTTTTGCCGGGCCTTTAAGGGGGCTTCCGGGCCTAGTCAGCAGCAGCAGCAGCAGGAGCAGCACAATGAAATGGCCAGCGAGTGCAGCTCCGTCTTCAGCGAGACGCGCAGCGAAGCTTCAGGGTCGCCGTTTCACGGGACGCAGCAGCAGCAGCAGCAGCAGCAGTTCCTGCAGCTGCCGCTGGAGCAGCCGCACCACCGCCGACACCACGCGGCGTGGGGGCCGGAGCTGTCGGCAGCAGCAGCAGGAGCAGCAGCAGACCTGTCGACCTCCTCGCTCCCGTACGTTTGCTCCTCGCAGCAGCAGCAGCAGCTGCTGCAGCAACAACTGCTGCAGCGGCAGCAGCAGCACCGCACCAATTTCTACAGACCCAACTCAGCAGCAACAGCAGCAGCTTCGCTTGCGTGGGCTGGAGATGTGAGGGGGGCCCTGGGGCCCCGGCAACGCATGCAGCCACAGCTTGCTGCGCTGTCTCACTTGGGGCAACAGCAGCAGCTGCTGCAGCAGCAGCTGCTGCAGCAGCAGGAGCAGATGCTACCGCAGCAGCAGGGCCGGAGACGGCCGCTGTTCTCGTCTGCTGCACCAGAAGCAACGGACCCAGCACTGAAGCAGCAGCAGGCAATAGTCGAGCAGCAGCAGCAGCTGCTGCAGCAGCAGCAGCTACAGCAGCAGACAATGCTGGAGCAGCAACAGCTGCTGCAGCAGGGACAGCTGCAAGAAGATGTATCTGCCATTGAGCTGCAGCAGCTGTACCTCCGCTGCCACTCTTTGCGGTGGCGCACGCGGCTTTTGGAGCTGTTCCAATCGGACGCAGAGGCAGCGCTGCAGCGGCAGCTGCAGCAGCAGCAGCAGCAGCAGGAGAAACGCCTGGAGCTGCTTCAGACTCTGCGGCAGCAAGTAGAAGCCGACACTGTCTCCGGCGCAGCCAAGGATTCCCCTGCAGCAGCGGCGAAGGCAGTGCTGGCCGAGGCAGCAGCAGCACTGCAACCTGCAGCAGCAGCAGCAGCAGCAGCTGCTGCTGCTGCTGCTGAAGAGGAAGCAGCAGGCAGCCCACCCAAAACAGCAGCACCCTACAGGGGTTCTGTTCCCTCTCTGGGGGCCCGCAGACCCTCGTTGGAAGCATCAGGCAAGCCGTTTGCTGCGGCTGCTGCAACTGAGGAGTGCAGTGCAGCAGCAAAAACAGCAGCAGCAGCAAAAGCAGCAACAGGGGGAACAAGAGCAGCAACAGCAGCAGACAAGCCTGCATCGTCCTTGTTTGGTTCTGGCGGGTTTGGGTTAGCAGCAGCCCCCGCACCAACCCTGTTCGCTGCTGCTGCGGAAGCGCCAGCAGCAGCAGCAGCAGCAGCAGCAGGCAGCGCCTC